TGTTGAGGAAATTCCCCTCTCCTCCTATTTTGTTGAGTGTTTTAATCAGGAAAGGACCTTGGATTTTGTTAAAATCCTTTTCTGTATCAATTAATAGAATCATGTGGTTCTTATTCTTTGCTTTGCTAATGTGATGAGTTACATTGATTGTTTTTCTTCAATTGAAGCATTGTTGCATATCTGTTGTGAATCCCACTTGGTCAGAGTGAATTAGTTTTTTGATGTACTGTTGGATTCTATTGGCTAGGATTTTACTGAAGATTTTTGCATCTACATTCAGAGATATTGGTTCTATAGTTTTCTATTTTGGTGGTGTCTTTATCTGGCCAGAATGAGTCTGGGAGAATTCCATCTTTTCCTCTTTTCTGAAATAATTTATATATAATTGGTGACAGTTCCCTGAATGTTTGATAAAATTCACTAGTAATAATATCTGGTCCAGAACTATTTTTTGCTGAAAGTTGTTTTGTTACCTGTTCAATTTAATTTTGTGATGAATCTGTTTAGTTGTTCTACTTCAGTCTATATCAATTTGGACAGATTATGAGTTTCTAAGTATTTGTCCATTTCTTTTAGGTTTTCTTATTTGAGTATAATTTTTCATTATATTTCATTGTTTACTTTTTTATTTCAATTAGTTCTGTTGTAACATTGCTCCTTTCATCTCTTATTTGGATTATTTGTATCTTTTTTTTTCTTTTCTTTTATCAGTTTTGCTAGTGGTTTGTCAGTTTTCTTGATCTTTTTAAAGAACCAACTCTTTGTTTCTTGATAGTTTCAATTGTTTTTCTGTTTTCTATTTTATTTCTTTCCTAATTTTTATAATTTCATTTTTTCAGGGGCTAACAGGGGTTTTTTGCTGTTCTTTTTCTACTTGTTGGAGAAATTGTTAAGGAATCAATTATCATTTTTTCTTCCATTTTGATGTGTTTGCTTATGGCTATAAATTTACCTCTGATTACTGCTTTGACTGTTTCCATAAATAGAGTTTTTATTGTCATTTGTTTCAAGAAACTTTTTTATTTTTTCCTATTATTTACTCATGTTCAAGCAGGGTGTTGTTCAGTTTCCAAATGTATTGTCTTTTCCCTCTTTTATCCTCTTGTTATTGTTTCTAATTTTTTAGCTTTGTGATCTGAGGAAATGCTTTGTACTATATCTCTGTTTTTAAATTTATTGATACTTGCTTTGTGACTTAAAATATGATCTATTCTGGAAAAAGTTCTATGCATGTTGGAGAAGAATGTATACTCAGCTTTTTTTGGGTGTATTAATTTGTATATATCTATGAGATTAAGTTGATTGTGAGGTTTAATTCTTCAGCATCTTTGTTAAGTTTCTTTCTGGTAGTTCTATCTTAAGAGTATTGTGTTAAAGTATACAACTACTGTTATGGTATCTATTTCTTTTTTCAGTTCTTTTAACATTTGCTTTATTTATTTTGCAGTTCTATCATTTGGGGCATAGATATTTATTACGATTATGTTCTTTGATTATACTGACACTTTAAGCATTATATAGTCACCTTCCTGCCCTTTGTTATAGTTTTCATGCTGAAGTCTGTTTTATCAGGGATTAATATCACTACTCCTGTTTTCGTTGTTGTTGTTGTTGTTTTTCTGGTTGAAATTTGCTTTGTATATTTTTCCTACCCTTTTTAGTTTTTCTTTATATTCACTTTACAGGTATGTTTCAGCATAATGATGGGTTGGTGGGTGTTTTTTTTTTGTTGTTGTTGTTGTTGGGGGTTTTGTTTTGTTTGTTTTTTTGTCCAATCTTCTACTCATTTTTTCTCTTCAGTGGTGCATTTAAACCATTCACATTCAGTGTAATTATTAGGAGGCAAGGTTTTGTTGATACACACTTTACTCTTTAAGTAAGCTGACAGCCTTTCTCATTAGCACTTTGAAGAGACTATTTTATGAATATCTTTTTAACATTATTATTTATTTACATTGTGTTTCATGCATACCATACACATTATGTTTTAGACATTTTTAAATTTATATTTCTTTTAGTTTGTGTATATTGTGGGGATCCCCCTTACAATCATCTTACTAATAACTACATTTGTGAAAACATGTAAGTCAGCCACTTCATGTCTCATGCTTTAATATGCCCAGTTAAGATAGTTAGATTCTGGTTTACTCATCTTTATCAAACTAGTGCTCTGAGGAACAAGCATATCCCTTTTGCTGAAGAATTTTCTGCTGTTCAATTTGGAAATTTTGAGCATCTGCATCCTCAAGTAAAGCCCAATCCACAGCAATCCATTAGATTGCAGCAATCAACCCTGGTTCACACCATGGGTCATCTTCTCTTTGCTTGTGTTCAGATCAACTCATCTTCAGTCATGTTTGACTAAGTTCAAATGGACATCAGATACAAATACTTCTGTTTGCATTCCAGACCTAATCTTGTCATTAAGCCCTAGCCCCTGCATGAGGCCAAATTAACAGGCCAGGTGTCCTCATGACTTTCTGCTCCTCAAGCCAACAACTTTTCCCTGCTCATCCATACATCTATGCATGCCAGGTGGACAGCACTGAAGTCTGTTTCTCCATTGCTGAATTCCTCTCACAATCATACTCTCTAACTTCTTTTTACTCCAAGTCCTGGAAGAGACTTTGATGTGCACCAAACTTTACCTTATCTTATAAGCCAAACAGCTTGTCACAGGTTTTAAAGAGATAGTCTATTTCTTTCCTTTTTTCTTTTTCCTTCTCTTCTTTCCTGTCTACTCTTTTTTCAAAGATTAATCTCTTCAATAGACATTCAAAGGTGGGTCTACAAATCCATTCAAATGTAGAGCTCCTAAGGGTACTGGATAAGATTTAATCTTTCCTCTCCAAGTCCCAACACCTGTATAAGATCCTATTTTTAATAAGCTTTTGTCCATAGGAAATCTTCCTTTTTAATACTTACAATCAAGGAGTGGCCAAGGTGGAATCATACTCTTTCTAAATGTACACTGTCTAGTGTTCCTTTATATTGTACAATTTTTTCCATCCTCTTCTAGATTAGTTTACATTTAACTTTATATACACTGTGCTTTATCCAAGCACATTGTGCCCTACACACCACCTCATAAACTCTGTACTTCATGCCATTAACTACCACTTATTTTTGTCTATTATTACACTGTTCCTCCAAGTCACCACTGAACTTTCCCCCAATCTGCCTCCCTCTCCTCCCACCAACCTCCACTATGCCAGTGATTATCTTTCTCTTTTTTGCCCCCCCTTACCCCACTTCTTTATTTTTTGTTTTCATGCCATAATTTGTATACACGGTTTCATTCATAGATGTTGTGTTTTATACAAACTTTCTTTTATGCTGTGTTTTAGACAATCATTAATATACTTTATATAATTATTTATATAGTTATATATAATAATCATACTTTATATAATTAATTACCATTGATCTGTGCCTATAATTACATTGCCTTTTCAAGTTCTCGTGGAATCTTTTCTATTCCTTCCCCTGTTGTGTTGTTATGTACTTTTGAGTCGCCTGTGACTCATAGTGACCCTATCTATGTACAATAGCCTTACACCCTGCTCTGTCCTACACCAATCTCATTATTTCTGACACACCCACACCCATTACCCCAGTCACTGAATTAATCCATCTCATTGAGGGTCTTCCTCTCTTGTTCTGTCCCTCCACCCTCCCAAACATGACACTCCTCTCCAAAGAGTGCTCCCTCCCTGCAGCATGTCCAAAATATGTCAGATGAAGCCTCATAATCCTTGCCTCCAAGGAGCAATCTGGTCTCACTCTCTCTAGAATGAACTTGTTTGTTCTCCTAGCAGTCCATTGTATATTCAACACTTTTCTCCAGCATCACAGCTCAAAGGCATCAATTCTCCTAATATCCTTAACTCACCCAAATCTGCCCACTGAACTCTGCTTTCATAGGGATTTCTACCCATCCTCTATTTTCAACCCCTCTTTTCTCTTCCTCTTTTGGACAATTATACACATCTTACTAATTATCCTTTTATTTTCTCAATAACAGCCTTATGCAATGATCTTATGATATGGAGTTAGTTCACTCAACAAAGTGCTCTCTAGACTCTTCCGTGTTGTATTTTACACAATTACTGTTCCTTAGTGCTGCATAGTGTTCTATTGTGTAAATCTAAGATAATTTCTTTACCCATTTATTTGTTGATGGACATTAGGGTAATTTCTTTATTCTTGTTGTTGCTAATTAGCTACTATGAACATCAGAGTACATATCTCCATTCTTGTCCCAATTATAAATTTCTTGAAGTATATTCCTAGTAGTGGAATAGCTAGTTGTGCTGTATATATCCATGTGCAGCTTTTGAAGAAGTGTCAAATTGCCTTCCACAAGGGTTGCACCATTTTACAGTGCATGAGAATTCAAATCTCTTGACATCCTCTTTAACATTTATTGCTTGCTGTCCTGTTAAACTTTGCTACTGCTACATGAGTGAGGTGGTATCTTATTGTTGTTTTGATTTGCATCTTTCTGATTGCCAGTGATTATGACCATTTCTTCATGTGTCTGTTGGTCTTTTGAATTTCTTCCTTAGTGAAGTCTTTTCATGTCTTTTGTCCATTTTATTATTTGGTTATCAGTCTTTTTCTTGTGGAGGCCCTGTAGTTTTCTATAAACTTTCATAAGAAGTCTTTGTCTGAGATGTCATTGTCAAATGTTTATTCCCCAGTCTGTTTTATTCCTCTTATTATCTAGTTTTCTTTTTTCCTATTGGAAAAAAGTTTTTTATGTACCCAGGGACTTTATTTTTAGAAGGTCAGTTCATCAATTTTATCCTCTCCTCATTATGTTCTTCTGATTATACTTTCAAACCTTTTATGTCATAAGCTAGGGTTTATAGATTTTATCTTATTTTGTCTTTTGTGATCCTTATATTTTTGTGCTTTACCCCTATGTCTCTGTTCTACCTTGAGTTGATTTTTGTATATGGTGTGAGATTGGATCTTGTTTAATATTTCTGCAGGAAGATGTCCAGTTTTGTCAACACTATTTGTTGAAGAGGTAGTCATTTTCCCATTTAATAGGTGTTGATTCCTTGTCAAATGCCAACTGCTGATAGATGTTGTTGTTGTTGTTATATGCCGTCAAGTCGTTTGTGACTCATAATGACCCTATGTACAAAAGCCCTAAACGCTGCTCTATCCTGTTCCAATCGCGTTGCCTCTGACACACCCATCCCTATTTACCCCAGTCGCTGAATCAATCCACCTCATAGAGGGTCTTTCCCTCCTGCGCTGTCCCTCCACCCTCCCAAGCCTGATGTCCCTCTCTAAAGACCTGTCTCTCCTTGCAACATGTCCAAAGTATGTCAGACGAAGCCCCAGAATCCTTGCCTCCAAGGAGTAGCCTGGTTTAACCCTCTCCAGGATGAATCTGTTTGTTTTCTTGGCAGTCCAGGGTACATTCAATACTCTTCTCCAGCACCACAGCTCAAAGGCATCAATCCTCCTTCTATCCTCCCTAATCATTGTCCAACTCTCTGATGCATAACAAGTGATAGTAAAGACCATGGCCTGTATCAGATGCACCTTAGTCTCCAGAGAGACACTGTTGCTCTTGAGTACTTTAGAGAGGTCCCTAACTGCAGACTTTCCCATCGCAATATATTTTTTTATTTCCTGGCTGCTGGTGCCAAGAGTGTTGACAGTGGAGCTGAGCAAACTGAAGCTGTGAACAGTCTCAATCTCTTCGTCATCCATCCTGATGCTACCAATTGGTCCAGTGGTGAGAATCTTTGTCTTCTTGACATTGAGCCTCAGTCTGTACTGGATGGGTTAATTTCTGAATTCTTGATTTTATTCCATTATTCTATGTGTCTGTGATTGTACCAATACCATGTTGTTTTGGTTACTATGGCTCTATTCTAGGTTAGGTTTTGAGATCAGGGAGTGCTATGCCTCTCATTTTATTTTTGTATTTCAGAAGTGCTTTGCTTATTTGGGGTCATTTTCATTTCCAAATAAACTTGCCTTTTCTATTTCTCTGAAAAATAAGGTTGGTGTCTGTATTGGGATTGTGTTGGACATGTAGATTGCTTTTGGTAGCATTGCTATTTTCATAATATTTAGTTTTCGATCTATGAACAGAGATTATTTTCCATTTAGTTAGATCTCTTATTGTTTCTTGTATTAGTGTTTTATAATTTTCCCTATAAAAGTCTTTATTTAGGCTTACTTCCAAATATTTAATCTTGTGGTTGGCTATTATAAATAATATTGGTTTCTAGGTTCACTTTCTGTGTTATCTCTGTTGCTGCAGAAAAAATACAACTGACTTTTGTATAAGGGTCTTGTATCTTTCACTCTACTGAAATGGTTTACTATGTCTAACAGTGTATCTGTTAAAGAGGATATTCAAGTGGTTCTGAGGGAATTGAGAAAAAACAAGGCTCCAGGAACTGATGGAATATCAAGCGACATATTTCAACAAACAGATGAAGCCCTGGTAGTGCTCACCAGGCTGTACCAAGAAATCGTGAGGACAACCAGATTTGGTTGAGATTCATATTTATTCCTATTTTTTTAAAGTGATCGAACAGAGTGGAAATTATAGAACAATATCACTAATATTACACACAAGCAAAATCCTGCTGAAGACTATCCAAAAGTGACTGGAACAGTACACACAGAGAAAACTACCAGAAATATAAGCTGGGTTTAGAGGAGGTTGTGGCACTTGGGACATCATTGCCAATGTCAGATGTATCTTGGCCAAAGGCTGAAAGTACCAGAGGAAAGTCTATCTGTGTTGTATTGACTATGCAAAGGCATTTGACTACATGGATCACAACAAATTGTAGCTAACCTTGAAAAGAATGGGAATCCCAGAACACCTGATTGTGCTCATGTGAAACCTATATTCAGACCAGGAGGCAGTAGTCAGAACATAGGAAGGAAACACTGTTGTTGTTGCTGTTAAGTGCTGTTGTGTTGCAGACAAGTCATAGCAACCCTATGAACAAAAGACCTTGACGCTTGTATAACTTCCATCATTTCTCTAAGGTTATAGGGTTTCCAGAGGCAAGCGATTTTGGAAGTGGATGTCACTC